CTAAACCCACCCTCTTTCAGTTTAAAGCTGTTCCTATCACATGTCCTTGTAAAAAGTCCCTCTCCAGCTTCTTATAGGCCCTTTTAGGTGCTGGAAGGTTTCCCTGGAACCTTCTCTTCTCCAGGCTGAATAACCCCAACTCTCTCAGCCTGTCTCCATAGGAGAGGTGCTCCAGCTCCTCCTGGTCATCTTCATGGATATTTGCACAGAATTCAAACACAGCAACAGAGTACGTTCTGTTTCCTCCTTCAGATACATTTCAGAGACTTGAGAACTAATCAATGTTGAAACAAATGTGGTGGCTTTCTGGTGACTGCTATGTTTCTGAGTGCTAAGCACAATGCCATGCACTTTTCCTTTGAAGTATGGAACATCCTCATTGTCACTGAAGATTTTAACTGTGTCTTCTTACTGTAGAGACAGTGGTACCCTTGGTCAAACCATAACACCATGAAGCCTGCTCACAAGTGGGATGAAAAACATTGAAAATTGCTTGCCAAGGATGCTCTCCTTCAGGACGTAGTGTTTATGTTCCTATCTATGTAATTTTCAATGGGAGACCTTAAAGCTACAGGTCTCTAGGGAAATCTGGTAGCCAAGTCATAACTGGTGTGCTCTCCTTCATGACTCCCTTGTAAGATGTTAAACTTTGTAAGTAGAAGGGATTTTACATGAATAGTGATAGAGAAATTAGTTAAATGACTGGATAGTACAAGCACTCTACAAATAGTTACAGCTTAATACAGGGTTATTAATCAAAATTGGCATGCATGAACATATGGTTCTTTCAATATACTTCTATTGTGTTGAAGCAAGTAGGTGGGAAATTGAGATTTAGTTACTAAATGCTCAAAATGAAATGCACTTTCCTGCCCAGCTGCCAGTGTGCCTAAGGAGAGGACTTTTGATTCCTTAGTGCTTCAGAATTGTCATGTCTTTAGAAACAAATTAATAAATAGAGAAGCCATCAAAATAGTCTTATGGCTTTGTTTTGTTCTTTTACCTAATCATCCACTTTCAAGTGCACTAGACAGGACAGCTACGTTTGAGTAAGTGACATCTTTTGTTGTTAGATAGTGACATTGGTAAGTTAGTACAATGTGCTGGTGTCAAATGCCATTGCTAGAGTCTCAGCTCAGATGCTTTACACTAATCAAATAAGTATCCGCAGAAACTATGGATGCTTTGAAAAGCAAATCTGCTTTTAAAGCATGGAGTTAGATAGACTAATGTTTCATACAAGTTCTGAAAACACCCAGCTAGAACGGATAATGAGAAGAAACTATCACACTTGAGAGAAAAAAAGTAGAAAGAAAAGGTTAAGTATGGTAAAATTTCGATAGTATTATTCAGTTTACCAACAAAGACTGAACTAAAACACTGGTTTAGTGAGAGCATAATAGTGGAAGTTTGACTCTTTTGAAGAGCTTCAACTCTCGGTTAAGAAAAGCATGAAAAATGGCAAGTATTTTGGGAATTCTGTCCTAATTGTACAGGCAGGTAACTTGCTCACCTTTCAGTATTCACATTCTGTTGTAGAGACATAGAATCCTGAGACTAAGAAGCATCAACAGGAGTTGTAATAGAACCTAAAATAAGCAAAAGTAAAAATACAGTCTATGCAGGAAGGCTTCACTTTCTGCAAGCTCTTTAGCTTTACTCTTTGCTCCACTTCTAGAATGGCCAAATTTTTCTGTGACACAACCTGGGAAATTCTGTCTCCATCCTGGTAAAATGTAACTTGTTTTTAAGTATGCAGCCAAACTCTATGGGTAACCAGAGATTTTAGTGTCTCAAGTTCAATAGTGTACCTGTACAAGTCATTCCGTCATTGCAGTCAAAGTATGATCAAATGAACGTATTGCTATGCAAGGCTGAAATATGAAATTGAAAAATATTGCTTTAATCTGGAAACCTTTTTAATTTGTACACCATATTTCAGTTGCAGAGGAATATTAGGCACTGTACTACATGACATGCTGTGGTCATTTGTTAAGACTAACGAACAGTCACATAATGAGACATCAAAAATACAGTATATTTTAATTAAATAAAAGGCTACCAAATAAGGGAGCAAGAGGTCTTGGCAGTTTTAATGGAGATCCTGGTTTAGAAACAGTGTTGGACATTTGTTTGTGCTTGTAATGCAACTAGAAGTTTATTACAGCATTTCATTTATAGAAGGGCTTTGCCATTGCTTAAGTGTTCCAGTTCTTGTTTTTTCCCCTTAAAAGAAGATATAAAAATAATTTCATGTCTCTTGAAGAGCACCCAGTGACTGAGTTATGACTGTGGCTTCCGTGGAATATGGCAGTGGTGCTAATATCTGAGTTTTCATTGCATTTGGGCTGGTTGATGTTTGCTTTTGGAATTAGTTAGCTTTGACAGTAAGTTGCCACTGTAATTTCTTACCTGAGAAGTTTTGAGTGTGAATATGTGCATATGCTAATGCAATATTTACCTATAGCATTCTGGCTCTTTTTTCAGCCACTGGCACTGTCTGCTATTCCAGTATGCTGTTATGTAGAGTATTTAGAATATTTGTCTTCAGTAGCTAAAATAATGGACGACAAATGAAAACCTAGTTAAGAAATCCGAGGTGTTAAACGCTGTTTTGGTCCTCACTGCATTATCAAAGAGGATGGAATAGACCTTGGAACTCTGTGTTAATGGCAAGGTGACAAGGTTGATCAGGAAATAACTAGTGCATGAGAGATTAGATACACTTGGTTGTCTGATAGTGATGTGGAGGGGCAAGCAGGGAATGACTGCTCTCCATTTCTCCCAAGGTAGGGATTGCAAGCAGCCAAAGGCCGTGATGACAACTGAAATGTCCCATCAGACACAGTTAAGTAATGGAGCTTATTTCCATAGGGTTCAGTAAGTCTCAGAGATATTAGAAAATGGGAAACACTTTTTATGAAACAGAAGTCCAGTTTCGAACGCTGCATCCAGCAGATTCTAAATTCTAGTTGCTGAAATCCAGGAAGATATACTGGGGAAGGGATTGCTTAGTACCTGTGTAACAATTTGTCCTGAAACATTGCTGCTAGTTACTCCCTGAGACATGCTGCTGGGCCCAGTGAAATTTTGGATCCACCTGTAAGTAATGATGTAATGTAGAAAAGTGTTTTGTGTGTGTGGCTCTAGGAAAGCAGGTTCAGGATTTCCAGAACTGTGATGTTTGTGTTGTACTGAATACCTGGGCAGCTTTGTTTATAGCATTTATAAAGCAGCAGTATTTTAATAACTGTCTAGAAAGTAAATTAGCTTCCCCAGCTGAAATGGGCAAAAAAATGTATGAAACCTGTGATTTAGAGAGTTTAAAACACATATGTCATTTTTCTTCATAACCGAGAAATAATTTGTTTCTCCTGTTAAGCATTTATAGGTGCATTGCATCCACTGCTCCAGATAATCATAGTTCTGTCAGGTTTGTTTTTCTGGAGGTAGTTTCAGACTTTGGTTTCCTCTAAAGCAAATAGTATCACCAGAAAGAAAATTAATGTACAGTTACCTTCAGATGGCAACATTGAGTGTTCTGTTGTGGAATCCAAACTGATTTGCTGTCACACAGGTAAAGCATCCGTACTGTTCAACTCTGGCAGTATTTATAAATAAATTACTAAAATATTGCTGGGAATGTACATACTGTACCTATGAATACACAATGGCTGGAGTGCTTTAAAATAAAGTTACTTGCTATACAGATATTTTAGTCTTTATTCATTTATTATGTATTGAGTATACATAGTTGGGTTGGTTGCAGAGAACACATTGCTACTGAATGGTTTGGCTTAGAACCATGGAATATTGAAAAGGACAGGATTCTAGAGGTCATCTGACCTGACTGCTCACAGAGGGATCACACTCGATGAGGTTGCTCAGGGCTACATAGACTT